AGCAGGTATTGAAGGGAAACCAGTCACTTCGACCACAGGCCTTCATAAGTATTCTTTGGAAGTTTCTTTCTGTTCTTATGTTTACTGAGAGTTTTTATTATGAATGGGTGTTGGACTTTTGTCAAATGCTTTTTCTGCATTTATTGATATGATTGTGCAGTTTCTTGTTTTTAGTCTGTTGATGTGCTAGATTATATTAATTGATTTTTGCATAGCGAGCCAGCTTTGCAGACCTAGCATAAATCCCATTTGGCTGGGGTACGTGATTCTTTTTATACCTTTTTGGATGCTATTTACCAAAATTTTGTTTAGGATTTTTACATCTATGTTCATGAGATCTATTGGTCTGTAGTTTTCTTTTCTTGTAATGCCTTTGTCTAGTTTCGGTATTAGCATAATGCTGACCTAATAAAATTAGTTACGAAGCATTCCCTCTTTTTCTATCCTCTAAAAGAGATTGTAGAAAATTGGTTAAATTTCTTCCTAACTATTTGGTAGAATTTACCAGGGAACCCATCTGGGACTGGTGTTTTCTCTTTTAGACGGTTATTAATATTACTTATTTCTTTAATAGATATAGGCCTATCCAGATCACCTATTTCCTCTTGTGTCATTCAAGGAATTCATTCATCTAGGTTATCAAGTTTATGAGCATAGAGTTGTTCACAGTATTCTTTTATTATCCTGTTAACTGCCATAGAGTCTGCAGTGCTGTTCTTCTTTCATTTTGATGTAAGTAATTTGTGTCCTCTCCTGTTTTCTTAGTTAGCTTGACTAGAGGCATATCAACTTTATTCATCTTTTCAAAGAACTAGTTTTTACTTTCGTTGATTTTCTCTATTGATTTCCTGTTTTCAACTTCATTCATTTATGCTCTAATTCTTATTATTTATTTTCTTCTACTTAGGTTTTATTTTTCTCTGCTTTTTCTAGTTTCCTAAGGTAGAAACTTAGATGATTGATTTTAGATTCTTCTCCTTTTCTAATATATACATTCAGTGCTATAAATTTTCCTCTAAACAATGTATATCACAAATTTTGATAAGTTATATTTTAATTTTCATTTAGTTCAAAATATATTAAAATTTGTCTTGAGATATTTTTTCCTTGACTCATGTTATTTAGAAGTGTATTGTTTAATGTCCATGTATTTTATGGTTTTCCAATTATCTTTTGTTACTGATGTCTAGTTTAACTCCACTGTGAGCTGAGAGCAGACATTATAGGATTCTATTCTTTGGGATTTGTTAAGGGGTATTTTGTGGCCCAGAATGTGGTCTATCTTGGTGAATGATCCATATGACTTTGAGAAAAATGTGCAATCTATCTTATTCGATGAAACAGTCTACAAATGTCAATTATATTCAGTTGATTGATGATGTGGCTGAGTTTAACTGTATCCTCACTGATTTTCTGCCTACCGGATCCATTTCTGAGAAAAGGATATTGGCATCTCCAACTATGATAGCGGATTCATCTATTTCTTCTTTCTGTTTTATCAGTTTTTGTCTCATGTAGTTTCATGCTGTGCTGTTAGATGCATACACATTAAGAATTGTTACATCTTCTTGGACAATTGACCCATTTAACATTATGTAATGCCCTTCTTCTTCCCTGATAACTTTCCTTACTTTGAAGTCTGGTCTCTCTGAAAGTGAAGCTCTACCTGCTTTCTTTTGATTAGTGCTAGCATGGTGTGTTTTTCTCTGTCCATTTACTTTTCATCTATGTGTGTCTTTATATTTAAAGTGCGTTTCTTGTAGACAACATATAGTTGGTTCTTGGTTTTGATCCATTATGACAATCTCTTTTTCATTTTTTGCATTTAGACCATTGACATTCAAAGTAACTATTGAGATAGTTGAATTAATATCTGTCATACTCATTACTGTTTTCTATTTATTGCCCTAGGTCTTTGTTCCTATTTTTGTCTTCCCTTCTTTTTCTGGCTTTTCTGTTTTTAATTGAGGATTTCATATGATTCCTTTTTTCTCCTTTCTTAGCAAATCCGTTATACTTTTTACTTTTTTTAGTCATTGCCCTAGAGTTTGCAATACACATTTACAACATCAGTCCATGTCCACTTTCAGATAACACTCTACCACATCAAGGGTAATGTGAGTGACTTATAATAACAAAATAATCCTAATTCCTCTCTCTCATCCCTTGTACCTGCTATTCATTTCACTTATATATGAGAATAAATATATATGTATATGTCCATAATACATATTAGTATACAACTCTGTGCTTAGCACAGAGCCTGATGCAGGGTTCAATCTCATGACCCCAAGATCATGACCTGAGCTGAAATCAAGAGTTGGACATTCAACTAACTGAGCCACCCAGGGGCCCTCTTTTAACATTTTAAATATTTCGTGCCATTCTCTTCTTGCTTGCATGGTTTATGAGGAGAAGTCAGATGTATTTCTTTTCTTTGCTCCTCTGTAGGTAAGATTCCCCCCACACACAACTCTGGCTTCTTTCACAATTATTCTTTATCTTTGATTTTCGGTAATTTGAAAATGATACATCAAAATATAGTGGGGTTTTTTGACATTTATTCTGCTTGGTGTTTTCCGAGTTTCCTGGATCTCTGGTTTGATGTCTGACATTAATTTGGGGAAATTCTCAGTCATCATAGTTTCAAATATTTCTTCTGTTCCTTTCTCCCTTTCTTCTCCTTCTGGCATTCTCATTATGTGTATATTATACTTTTGTAGTTGTCCCACAGTCTTTGGCTATTCTGTTTTCATTGTTTTGTGGTCTTTATTCTCTTTGATTTTTGTTTTTTGAGGATTCTATTGAGATATCCTCAAGCTCAGAGATTCTCTCCTCAAATGTGTCCAGTCTACTAATAAGCCCATCGAAGTATTCTTCATTTCTGTTACAGTGTTTTCATCTCTAGCATTTCTTTTTGGTTCTTCTTGGGATTTCCATCTCTCTGCTTACATTGCCCATCAGTTCTTACATGCTATCTACTTTACTCATTATAGCCCTTAACATATTGATAATAGTTGCTTTAATTTCCTATCTGAAAATTACAACATCCCTGCCATGTCTGTTTCTGATGTTTGCTCTAGCTCTTGAAATTATCTTATTTTACCTTTTGATATGCTTTGTAATTTTTTCTCGATTGCCAGGCATGGTAAATCGGCCTTTGGTAATGTTGGGGGTGGGGGGCAGTAGCATTCTACAGTCCTGTGTTTGGGTCTCAGTGTTTTAGTGAGCCTATACCTCTGGATTACGAACTTCACAAGCGTTTCTCAGGTTTTTGCCCCCTTTGTGTGGAAGAGGATGGCTAACATGGGTGGAGTTGGGTTTTTCCCTTCCCCTGGTGAGTTAAACTCTGGTAATATTCTAGCAGGTCAGCCAACAGCTAACAAGTCTCCCCCAAGGGCAGGCTTTGTTAACAAGGACAGAGTGCTATTGCTATTTCAAAATGGTTCCACTTCTCCTCCCTGTGCCAGAAGCCCGGGAGGGTTTTTCTCTGGTACACACTATGGGAACCTGGCGGAGCTCCCAGAGGTAAATCTCACAATCCTGTGGCATTCCCCTAACCCTGGCTCATCTGGGGTTTTGAACTCAGAGTAGTCTGCACTGCCTCTCCTTCAAATTCATCTATTCCCTTTCACATTTTCCCATCCTGGCACTGGTTTCTGCAATGCCTTTCTGCAGGAGAGTCTCTGCTCCAGTAAGCTTATCTTTCCAAGCTTATTCCAATCTATAGTTGCCTGACTTTCTAATCTTGAGGGCCCTGGTTTGCTTGAGTCCTCTCTTCTCCTACAGATCCAAGAAGAGTTGTTGATTTTTCAGTCTGTTCAGTTTTTCACTTGCTGTTAGGATGGAATAGTGACTTCCAAGCTCCTTATATGTGGAACCAGAAGTCCGTAAGTGCCCTCCCTCCTTCTACTCTTCACGTTACAAATCAACCGGGAGGCTTTTCTTCCTCTCTTGGCTAGAGAGACTTGACGAGTCAGTCCTCCGGGATTTGAGATACCACATTCTCCACACCATCCTGAAGAGCCACAGAAGCCAGCAACATCACTCTCCACTCCGGGGAAAAGGCAGGGAGGGGGACAGACAGTTGAGGGGGGGGTCATATACAAAGAGGAGATTGATTTCAACTTTTCTTAATGACTTTAATTGGAGACTCGAACCCTGTAAACCATAGTTCAAGCCTAGTTCTGTGGGACTGTGTCTGGTTCTCCCTAAGGCCACAGGAGGAGAAATGCATAATTGAGGTTGGAACAGGGAGCTCCACTCTCCTTGGTCTTTAAATCTGGAGTAATTCCAGCAAATTATGGCTACTGGATTAGCCTTAAAATAATTGTTAATGTCACCAAGCTCCAAGTTCCTTTCTTCCTCCTATTTGGGGAACTCTCTCACAAACTATGTGGGATCAAAATACACCTCTGTACCACACTAACATCTACAAGTAGAAAGCTTCTTGATGCAGTTGCTGAGCTAGCCTGGAGAATTTCACTCCCTCCCAAGCTCACTCACTGCGTCAACCCACTCTCCTCTCCATCAAGCATCAGAGTTCTCCCAGACCCTGTCCTGAGAGGCTATAACCCAAGAAAAGACCAACTACCCACTGCTTGATTTCCATGGTCAGAGTTCTTTGAGGCCCCAACATAGGACTGAATTGCAGTTTGCAAAGCTGTGTATGACAACAGCCATTATAGTGACCTTGAATTCTTATCTGCTGTTCTTTTTAGGAACAATTGAGAACACCTTCACAGTAATGATATCATCAGGTTTGCCCTCTCACCAACTCCAAAAAGAAGAAAGGGGGCAAACCCCTTCCCTTTACATTCAAAGGAAACATGAGGCCTAGAGAGGTCAAGGACTTGTCTATGGTTTCACCTCCCATCAGGGCCAAGGGCCACAGAGGGCTCCCATCTTCTCTGTCTGGACTCTTTTTCCAAAATGCTGGAGCACAAAGATTTGACTGTTCCTCTCCATTTTTCTTATTTGTACTTTTCTCTGTTAACCATAAGGGCATTTCTAGACTTGGGAATCCCTTTCAGTCTCCTCTAGCCTCCTCCAGCCCAGAGCAGATAGCCCCTGCATCCTGCAGAAACTCTCACTGCTCTCATGCCCCATAGGGCTCCAAGCTCTATCGAGTAGAAGATACCACATAGGCCGTGGCGATGTATTTCTTGCCATTTCCATAGGTGGACTTGTCCCAGGGATAGGTCTGGATGGCCAAGGGATAGCCACCCAGGCTTAACTGGCATCTGTGGAGGAAAGATGGCCAAGTCATAGGGGCCCATCACGTCTCCCCATGCCCATCCCCTGACTAGCGAGGTCAAGCCCAATCCATGCAGAGAACTGCCCCAGCTTTCTTCAGCCATTACCTCCCACTACCCATGCACAGGCAGCCCTTCAGAAGGGCTCCTTTTTCCCAGAGCAGTAATCTAAAATCTCAGATTCTAGAGCTAAACCCCCAGAAATTAAATGTCTGCTTAGGGTTTCAGACATAGTAGGACCCAAAGTCCTCAAATGTTAGAAGAGATGAAGCCCAGTGGTTTCAAGCTATACTCTCTGGGGCTCCGGGGTTCCCCCTAGCAGCCTTGGGGACTGAAGAGAGAGGCCTGGAGCATCAGGGCAAGTGCATCTCTAACTGTTTGACCTATGACGGTTCTGCATAAGATTCCAGGTGATGGTTCTGCCACTGAGGTAAAGGTTGGCAACGACCAGCCTTATCTAACAACCTCATTTCCCAAGTGAGAAAACTTGAGGTGCAGAGGGGTGGTCTATCCAAGCCACGGAGTTGCAGAATCCAGCTCTCACGATTGTCCTGGCTGAGGACAGCCTGTGGCTCCAGCCTGCTGCCCAGGCCTGGCTGGCCCAGTACTTACGCTTTGCCAGGCCTCGCAATGAAGCACAGGGAGTAGAGCGCAAACTCAAATTCAGGGCTGCTGCCGATGAAAGCTGAGCCCACCTCCTTGTAGTAGCCGTCCCAGTTGAACTGCATGGCTAACACGTCGGGGTAAGAATCCCACTGCAGAGAGTAATAAAGGAGACCTGGTAAATACCATGAGTGGAGTCTGCCAGACAGGTGGCACATGGTAGCAGCCCCCAGGAGGGGCCTGCATGAGTTTTCTGGGGAGGCTGGATTCTTTACGTCAACCAAGGAAACAGTCTCCCCGGCTAAGGGGTCTGAGCCCTACTTGGACCCACTGTCCGGAGCTGCCAGCATGAGTCTCCCGAAGAGGCCAGAGCCCGCTTTCCTGTGACTGACGCCAGGGTAGCGGGGACCATAATGCTTCCTTTGTAGCTATCACATGTGGAGGAGAAAGACAATTTATTGTCCCCCAATTATTTCCCGGCACAGGGCAGCAAAGGTTTCTTTTTTCTGAAATGTAAGGAGTTGAACTCCGACTAGCCAGGCTGAAATTTCCAGCCAAGGCCACATTCTAAAGAAGTTCAGGTAGGAGGTCATTACATACCTTTGAGACTTGTTCCCCTCTGAAGATCTTCCCCTGCCCCCAGCCTCCCATCCAGGGATAGTGCTCTCTGCCTCCTGCCCTCTGCAGGTCTGGAGCCTTCACTGTTTGGAAGGGAATCTCAGGGTCCTCGCTGCCTAAACCCACTGGCCACCAGATCAGGAAGTCATCTTCACCATCCCTGCTAGGCAGCCAACGAGAGGCAGGGCGAGAGGCCTGTCTGGCTGCTGGGAGCACAGAGTGAGGGCAGGAAGACTGGATACTAATAAGCTTCTCCAGCCCACGGGTCAGCACCCAGTACTCACCGGGCCGTCGTAGATGTGACTGTAATAGTCAACCAGGCCCTCCTTCTCCTGCATATAGAAGCGGATCCAGTTATGGAAGCCAGTGACCTTGCCTTTTTTGATTTCACCTATAATGAAGAGTTCAAGGTGGGTGATCTGGGCCTCCCCTCCAACCTCTTGCACCCCTTCCCTGCCAAGGCTGTCCCCCTTCTTGAGACTTTGGCTCATAGAATGCACACCTGCTTAGCCCCTTGCCCACACTCCCCAGCATGCCACACATCCCTAACTCTCACCCAAGAAAGCCCTCCCTGCCCCCTTCAGAAAGGCCTTGGGAGAATTCCTCCTCCTGGTTGGCCTGGGCGACCAATCTCCTCTCAGCCATTTCTCCAGTAGCAAGCCAAACTTGGTGGGAGCTTTATGGGGTGGGACAGTGGGGAGAAAGACCATGGACCTCTTGGAAAGCAGAGGACGATTCAGAAGTAGCCAGCCCTGCCCCTGAACCCAGCCCCTTTCCTATGTGTGCCCTTGGGAGCCCTAGTGTCTGGTCTTCTTTCCCCTTTAGATACTCCATGGGAGACTATCCCTCAAAAACAGCTCCTCAGACCCCTTCCTCTTGGCTTGGGGGTGAACAGGTCCATCCCTGCTAACAGGCTTGGCTGCAAGTTCTTCAGTGCCTGATGCTGCCCTCCTCCTGAGGGAAGCAGTCTCTCTTCGTTCCTCCAACTCTTTCTTTCCAGGCATAATGATCCCACCTGAGAAAACATGTTCAAAGCCACTCGAGTCCTCCTCTTCATTGCCTCTTGAATAGAGCCCAAACCACATGTTCTTCAAGTCATCGACAAACTCTTGTTCGGAGCCATAGCGGTCTGCGGGGAGGAACACAGAGGACCTAAGAGAGGGGACGGCGGGACCAGGTCCTGGGAAGCGGGGAAGAGCCACCTGCTCCAGCACATTAAGAGACATAGGGGTTCAACCAACAAAGATATTCAGTTGTCCATTCCGTAACTACCCACAGTGCACCTGTTCTGTGCCAAGCCCGATCCGCAGGCTGAGGAGTCAGCAAGGAATAGCAAGGACAAGATCCCTGCTTTCACAGTTTCATTCCAGCGGAAAAGACAAATAATAAACAATATGATTGCGGATAAGCGCTATGAAGAAAATAAAGCAGAGTGTCCCATGACGGCTGGAGGTGGGGTTGGGATGGGGTTGGGCTCTTCTAGAAAGGAAGATCAAAAAGACCTTTCTGAGAAGGTAGTCCTAATCAGAGACCTGCAGGATAAATCTGGGGGAAATGGTCTTCCATGTGGAAGGGACAACAAGGGCAAGGCTCTAAGACAACCTGGGCTCTGTATTCAATGAGCTAAGGGAAAGGCAGGGTGGCTGGAGCACAGTGAGCGTAGTGGGGAGGGGTCGGACAGGAGGTCCAAGAGGTAGGCAGCCACCAGGCCTCACAAGCCATGGCCAGAGAGTTGGGCATCAGTCAAAAAGTAACAATACAAAAATATTTCAATTTACTGTCTACATTCTATGGACCTCAACTGTTTTAAGTGCTTTCAGTCCTCACACTGAATCTTCACATAGAGTTGATACCAATTATGCCCAGTTTAGAAACGAGGCAGCTGGGCCCCAGTGGGAAGGCCGGGGCTGGAGCTCTAATTCAGGGAGCCATCAGATACCGACTGCCGCTCAGAACTGTGTGTGGAGGACACCAAAGAGACACCAGACATCTGCTAGCCTTTCTAGAACTTAAAACACAGTCAGAAAATGAGACAAAATGTACACACAATAACAGAGAATGGGTTCACAGGCTGAATGGCTCATACCACTTCCCCAGTGCTTAACGTGCGTTAATCCGCAAAGATCCCATTTCACAGATAAGGCTCTGACAGGTAAGGTCATTTGCCCAGGATTGCACCACTAACAAGTGGCCCCCTCGGGCCCAAAGCTATTTTGGGCTACCCACCCCCCCAACCCTTGACCTCTGAAGACATGCTGCGGAGATGCTGAAAGGCAGCGGGGAGCTAGGGCAGGTGCAGACCCAGCCTTGTGGGATGTGAGCTGCAACTTGAAGGACAATCTGGGTTTGGACAGGGAGAGACGTGATGGAACAGCCCGGCCTCAGTATGGGATCCCTGGGTCCCAGACGGGGCTCTGCTCACGACTTCGCCCGGCTCATACAAGTCATCAGCCTGTTGTGGGCCCCCAGCTTCTCTCTTGGAAAGCTGGAGGGCTGCCCTGACTGCCAAGACTCTCACTCGTGTTTGCGGCAGAGGACCGCCAGGGGGCGGTGCGGGATCGCGCCCTCTTCACCCGGGTGCTCGGGCGTCACCCGCTTCACCTAAAAGCCGTGGGTGACTCACACGTAAGGGAAGGCGAGCGGATGGAAGGCAGCCGCTGTGAGCAGAGGGGAGACCCGGACAGAGCTGCCCATGAGGCCCAGCCCAGCTGCCTGGAGTTCAGGAGAGGAATCTGCAGGACTCGAACCGACACAGCCCCCTGCCAAGAACTCCTGCGGCTCAAACCTTTTTTGGTCTGATTCAAATGTGTCCCTATCCGGAAGGGAGCTAGCCAGAACCCCTCCCGGTAGAAGCTTTTGGTGATTTTCTGTTGCTGTTTCCCCAGCAAAAATGTGGGACAAGCCAACAAGCCTTCCTGGACCTGGAGCAGGAGGAAGGAGAATCAGGGACCCAAAGTGCCTGTGGGATCAGCTGAGTTGGGTGAGGTGCAGGGATGACTCCCCGGCTTGCAGAGAGCCTGAGACTGGAACAGTGCGTGGCGGGCGTCCACGAGGCCGCTCAGAATAAATCAGAGCAGAGGTGACTTGCGAGCCAGACAGAGATTGCTTCCACTACTTAGGCCCAGGGCCCCTCCTGGCCCTCCCAGAGGCCTGCTGGCCATTACACAACTCTGCCCCTGCTCGCTTCACCTCCCCACCATGGAGGCCCAGGGCTGCCAGGCTCTCCTGTCCTGAGCACTGCCTTGTGGGGCTTGGGGTCGCTCACTCACTCTGGTGACGGAGGAAGCCATAGAGTTCCTTCATGACCGCCGTCCTCATGACCTCTCTGAGGAAGGCGTCCTGCTCAGCCAGCTGCTGGGCACTGAAGTGCTCCCCACGGCCCGTGGCCCGCTGGTAGTTGTTGAGGAGGTTAATGAAGGCCGCGTAGGTGGGCTTGGAGAACAGCTTCTCATTGACGTAGGTGAAGAGCCTGCGGGAGGTGGAGGGAGGCGCTAGGGAGGCCTGAACATGGGGCAGGACCACCCCCACCCGGCCCCTACAGGGGCAGCCAGACAGCCAGACAGGTCAGGGCAGGCACGAGAAGGTGGAGGTCCGGAGCAGAGTCAGGACCTCAGCTCCTCTTGAAGGGTGTGCATGAGGCGGCTCTCTTCTCCCACTCCAGCTCTTGGAAGCTCAGCTCTCTTCTCAGCCCAGTCAGTCACAGAAATCCTCCCAAGTGGATACCCACAGCCCCTCAAGATGGTTTTCTTTGTCCCTGGAGACCTATTTCCTTCTCTCACTTCCATCCCGCCTGAGGAGAAAAGAGCTGAGGCAGGCAAAGAAGCGAAGCCGGGGGTGGGGGGGACACTGTGCAGGGAGAGTGAAGGGGACTCACGGCTCTGGGCAGCGGTCCACTTGGTCTCTGGTCTCCGAGGGCGAAATGCGGTTTTGGCTGTTGAGAATGATGTCTTCCTTCTGGGCTTTGTTGACATCTACCCTGTAGATCTTCTCAGAGATGCTCTGTAGCTCCTCCTTGGTTATGGCATCACTGCTGTAGGAGAAGCCCTCTAGGAGGAGTGGGGAGGGGGTTCTCAGCCCAAGGAAGGCCCGGGGCCTCCCCTGGGCACCTTCCAGAAGCAGACAGCCAGGGAAGGAAGCTGCAGTCCATCACCCTAGTGGTTGGAAGGCAGGGACCTCGGGCCCAAAGGCTCCTTAAAATAGGCACATAGCATTGCCTGCAAAATGCCCACACTGCCCCCACCTCTGGGAAGTTCTCAAATGTGGGCATGCCCCAGAATCACCTGGAGGGCTTGTTAAAACAGTTTTGGGGGCCCTGCCCCCAGAGTGTCCAATCAGTGGGTCTGGTGGGAATTCCTAGAGTCTCCCTTTCTAATCTATGCCCAGAGGATACTGATACGCTGCTCCAGCGAGCACACCTGCAGAACTATCGCTCTGGAGAGTTCCTCCATCTCGGGGCTGTGCTAAAGGGAGCAGGAGACTGACCGTGGCCACACAGGCTCTCGAAATCCATGCAGCAGTTCCCAAACTCTGGGCAGCGGGCATTGCAGTGGCATGGTTGGTGCCTGTCGAAGGCCTCGTGGCAGCGGTCCCGGCAGGAGCTGGGTGCTGAGTACAGGTCTGAGAGCACAGGGAGAGGTGTGTGGGTGGCAGACCCTTAGAGGTCACTCCGGGCCAGCCCGACACCCCCCCCCCCCAGCCTCCCACTCGGAACTCCTATTGAAGATCTCCAGGGAAGGAAAACAAACGGGCTGAATTGGTACACACCCTCCACGGTCAGGAAGCCCTTGCCTTGCGGAGAGGCCAAACTCTACTTTCTGGCCTGTTGTTTTTATAATCTTCCCACCCTAAAAATAAAATCTCTTCCACTTCCCTCCATAGCCCTCAGGCTCCCTTTCCTGCCTAAACCCCAGGTTGCAGAGGCCAGCCCTCATTCCACCTCCGGGTGCTGGGTTTGGGGTCCCTCTAGCTCAGGACTGTGCCTGCTGCCGCTGGGATGGCTGCCTCCTCCTTGTCACCTCTCGTGTCCCTCCCCGCCTTTAGCCTGCAGGCTCCCCTTTAGAAAGGCAGACTCACGGCCAGCTGAGGCCTCCACCGGCTCTTCCTCCAGCTCCAGGAATGGCTCTGGCTCTTCGGGGCCCTCTTCTCCTGTAGGTCAGAGAAGTAGAGTCACCAGCCACCCCCAAGGGCTCCCTTTCCCTTATGTCCGATTCCCAGTTCCCCCAGCCTCCAGGACAAGCCGTGCAATGGAAGAAAATATGAAACAGGGGCTGAGGCACAATGAACAAGGAGACAAACTAAAAACGGAAGACAGTTTGATTAATATGGAAATAAATGCAGTGCTTTTAAAGTGCCCTAAATAAATAAATAAAAACGGAATACAGAAGGGGACAGATGACTGGAAACTGTTCTAAAAAGTGAAAAATATTTCCCCAGGTGACAACGCTCCTTGCCACTTCAGCATTCTGGCGCTCAGTGTGTTCATCTATACATAGAGGAGGGGAGGCAGGAAGGGGTGCCCTCTGGATTGAAAACCCTGATTCGGGTTTGACTTTTCTTCAAGATACGTTGATAGAGGACAGGCTTGCCCCTCTCCAAATGATAAGGCCTCGCTTAGGAACATCCCTTACTATAATAACTCCCAGTCACAGTCAAGGGTGAACTCCACCCAGGCCCTCCGGGACTAAGAACTCTAAGAACTGTTTCCTGAGATACCAACTTCCCTTCTTTCTTTACAACACTTGGCAATGGCCACAGAGAAGGGGGTGGGGGAGGTGAGTTCAGAAAAGGACGTTCATATTGCCTCTCTGTTCCCTTGGCCTGCAGGCTTGGTGGAGTGGGGGTGGGGAGGAAGAGGAAGGATGCTCCTGGGGACTCGGAGCTCCTCTCCAGCACATGGTGGGGGTAATTTCCCCCAGAGAAGAAACACTGTTACAAAGTGATTCGGAATCCGTTAGTGAGCTTGCTGGATGGTGTTGTGTTATCAGAACCGCAGGCCAGACTATGTGTTCAGCCAACACACGTGTTCTGATCACTTCCTTGGTGACAGGCTGTGTTCTAAGTCCTGACCATCCACCAGTTCTTAACTCCGCCAATGTTATGCTAAACAGACTTTCAAGGGCTGATTTAGGGTCTCAAACGTCATCCATAATTTTTCTATGGGAAAAGGATTCTGAAGTGCAAATCAGAGGCTTGGAGATGGACTTGCTCCCAAGCTAAGTCTTGTCTGTGCTGTGAAATGCCAGCCCGATGGTCCAAGTTGAATGGGCTCTCCTGTGTCTGCTGAATAGGGCACAAGACTAGGGGAAAGGGGCAGGCTCTGATTCTGGCACTGAGCTCTGGACCTGGGTTTCCCTCCCTGGGCTTGATCAACAGAACTCCTGCTGGTATAGATGGTGTTTTCATGTAAATGGAATGAGGGTTCTTTCTGGTAGAAGCAGCTCAATGGGCACATGGCTGGGTCAGCAGATACCCCCTTTGGGAAAATTAGGAAAAGGTACTCCTTTCTCTCAGCAGACACAGCTCTTCACCAAGAAAGGCACATGGGTTAGCAAGAATGGACTCAATTTTGGTCACCTTGGCTTCTCAGCCAGGTCCCCCTGTGCAGTGTACAACCTGCACAACCGTATGCCATGGTCTTGCTAGCCATTACCTACCATGGCTCTAGAGATCATGTTTTCCAAACTGAGAGTCAGGGCACCTGGTTTGACAGTGAACTTAATGAGGCTTCGTGTCCTAAAGCAGAAGACCATTTATCTGGCGGTCTAAAACACTGGAAGCATCCAAACAAGGGGATTATTCAAAATAATTTTTTTCAAATGACCTTTAAAACTATATTAGAGTAACAGAGAAACAATTGGCCTCTGAGAGTAGTGTGTGTCCCATTTAATCACTGGACAGGGAATGACAGATTGAAGGTATTCCAGCCGCTCGGTCCACTCATTACCAGGAGAGTGGTGTGTGTGAATCCCAACAGTCACAGTGACACCACACAGGCTCCCTGGGGGCATGGAGGTTGGAGAGTTCGACTCCCTTTTTACACTTTGGTGATGCAAAGTGTTGAATTACAGTTGGTCATGAGATACATGCTATGTTAATGTTTGTTACTGTTCTTCTGCATTTCGAATTACTTAAACTTCCAAAATAGTATTGCTAATCCTGATAGTTCAGATAGATATTCCAGATAAATAACATCTATTAAGCTGCGGTTTTAGACTGGAGACAGCCTAGAATAGCTGGGACAAGCAGTTGACAAATCCCGACTTGCACTGCTCATCAATGTCCTCATTTGGGCTCCTGGAGCCCTGTCATCCATCACGGATCCCAGCTCTGAACTGCCGGACACCTGAGCCAGCGCCCCTGCAGGCAGTCTTGGTGTGTGCATGGCCTGGCCCACTGTGCCTCCCAGACCCTTCCCCCGACAAGGAGCCTCACCAGTACACACGTGCTCATAGTCTTCACAGCAGTCCCCATGCCGGGGACACTGGCGGTCACACTGGCAGGCAGCGTCCATGTGAAATTTCTCATTACAGCGAGATGCACAGGACTCTAATTTTCCTACGGGCAGTAAAGGTCACAAACTCAGCTCTGTGAGGGTCGTATTCTCCCTCTCAAGGTGCCCCCTGCGGTAGGGTTTGCAGACAGGGGCATGGGGCCCACCTAGCAGGGAAGATCATTGCCATCTGCTGCAGAGAAATACATGGGCAGCCTCCCACGCACCGGCAGAAGCCTCATCCCCACCACCCGCCACCCACCCGTATTGAAGGGCTCATAATATACATGAGGATCACAGACTTGAATGCTGAACGAGGCTAGACCTCTAAGAGAAGCAAGGAGGCAGTAGGAATCGGTGGGGACCATAACAAACTTGGAACTGACGCTCGGCCTGAAATTGACAGCCACTCCCAGCTCCAGCCCCTTCTGCCATGTCGGGGTGCAGGCTCAATGCTGCCAGAGCCTCTAGTTTTTTAAGAGAAGCCTTCCTTTTCATGTGAAGTTTTCCAATTTTAAAAAAATTTCCACAGACCAACGAAAGAGATCTGTGGACTGGTCATGACCCACAGGTCATCATTCACCTGTCACATAGGTGAAGGTGGTCACTACTGCTCCAGTGATCTCACCTGCCCTCTCCCCAGGCATCTCCCTCCTCTCATCCTGCCCCTTTTAAGTCTTCTGCTCCTTTGTTCTTTGCTCCCCTTCACCTGGTCTCCCCTGCACCCTGTTTCTCCCAGGTCCCGTCTTTCGGTTTCTTCTAGTCTTTGGAAAGGTTTTGAATTAGTTTATGCTCATGTGGGGAACAAGTATACTTCAGAATTGGATTCTGGAACAGGATCCGCTGTGTAACCACAGACCACATCCTTTACTCCAGCCACATGGCCTGCAGAAGCAAATTTTTGGTCACAAGGGGCATAGACAAAAAATTTTGAAAGAAATGGTACAAGCCCACTACCACTCTTAAAAACACAACCCCCGCCATGCCCACCCCAGCAAAGACAGTGTCGGGAGGTGTCTTTGGTGACAGCTGGCTTCGGGGGCCCTTTCCTTCCATTCTGAGACTTAAGGGTAATTACAGGGTCTTTGTTTCCACTTGAGGTTCCTGAGGTTTGGATTTCGTGAATGCTGGGTTTAGGGGCCCGGCTGTGGGCGAGGAAGGATGTCAAGATCAGGGTCAGAGTCGCCATTAGCATCGGAATTTGTATAATGTGGAAACCGAAACCTAATTTGGACCAGATTTACGGTGCATTAGGTTCGGATTAAAAGCTACGATCAGGATTTGGACTTGAGTTACATTTATCGATGAAGTAACAGATTTGTATTGCTGTTTGGCCGAGGAATGAGGGGATAGGTTTAATGCCACTCCAGGGTTGAAGAGTGTGTCGAGACTAGAAGAGAAATTATCCCACTTTTGCCTTAGATTAGATTTGGGGTTTGGTTCTAGTGGTGACTCCACATAGGTACCGTATCTCGATTTAAGCCTGGATTGGGTGGGAGGTGAATATGAAGGTTGTGGGTTTATTTACTACTTTGGATTCTGGGATTAGGGTTTATATGGTGTTCATGCGGGTGGCAGAGCAAAGAACTTGACCTGGACTCTGGGGCCAAAACTTCATGGGGTTGGAATTCTGGCTCGGCTGCTTTCGAGCTATAAGCTCTTGGGCAAGTTATTTGACCTTCTGTGCCCCGGTTTCCTTATCTGTGAAAGTGTCATGACAATGGAGTCCATCTCATAGAATATTTATAACCATTAAATGAGTTGATATTTGTAAAGCATTTAGTACAGTACATTATCCTTACTAGCAACATGGGCTGCTTAGATAAATAAACAGCGATAATACTCCACGCCCAGCTCCAATGTGGCAAGTGCTCAGACTGGCTAGAGCAGTCTTCCCTGTGGATGCACGTCATCTAGCTGACTCCCTCCCTGGCTTTCAGCTGGGCCAGCCCTTGGACCAGGGTGTCCGTGCATTTATGTCGCTGACAGTTTCCTAGCTGACGTCATTGCTGTGAGCCTGTATTCTCTACATCAAAGAGGTGTCAGGTCAAGGTTAACCATGTCCTGAGGCAGCCTCAAGTTGGATCCAGGGCCTCCCATGTGGCAGGCCTTTGATCCAGTGGACTGTCCTTGAAAACAACCAGGCCCAAGGCCACTTGTCCTTTCAGGCTCAGTGGAACTCTTTCTGAATCTTAAATGTTGCTCCCTTGGAACCTAAATGCAAAGACCTTAAGGAGAAATTTTTAGGCAGGAGGAAGGCTCAGTCAGCTGCCTGCCCAGTCAGCCTGGCAGAACACCCACAGTCCAAAGGGAGAAAATTCAGACAAATCAAGGCAACATTCACAATGGGCCCGATCAGCAGAGTCCCAGGAAAGAATTCACTTCATTCCAGCAGCTGGCACAGGCTGAGAAGGGCTCCACGTGACTAGTCAGCAATCTGGAGCTCAGGAGAACACCCCCCACGGCCCTGGCCGAGTGGACTTTGTCATCTCTGTTCGAGAACTTTGTCCCCAGTGAGAACTCCCTTCCCCATAAACTTGGTCTGCTTTGAGACGACCCTGGGATTTGAGGGGGGAGAGGAGAGGTAGCAGGGACTTCTTTTCCTCATAGGTACCTCGCTGGGCTGTCCTGGGGACACTCAATGGACCGAGTCACTCCGACTCCTCACTCCAGTGTCCTCACCCTGTGCCTGCGGGCCACACAGGGCCCTGTGCGAGCCTCATTCCCTGGCCAGGCCCTGAGTCACTGCTTCGGCAGCCATCAGCCCCTTGCCCTTTTGCCTCATCTCTCTGAGCCACAGCCTTTTTCACACTGGCCTTGTCTGTCTCAGACCCAGACTTTCCCTCCATTCCCCTGGAAGGGCTTAGGGCCTCCCCTGTCTCATGAGATGCTAAATTCCTCTGAACTCTCCAAAACTTCAATATGCCAGAAGTTCCACTCCCTATCCTTGCTGCCTACCCAGAGAGTCTGGTCCCAAACCTGGGTGTCACTATTACACCAGCACTTAGCTGCTCTGAGGATCGGGACATCATCCTCCATCCGTGCCTGTCCAGGAGCCCCAGAGGCTGTTTCCCTGGAGACCTAGCCAACCAAGAAGATTGGTTTCCAGGACCAGCTTCCTGCCCCAGTTCACCCAAAACAACCAGGCTCCTAAGACTGATGGTGACTCCTCCATATGATTCATTGTCTTGCATCTAAGTTCTGAGATGTAGGAAGTAGGAAGGATGAGAGCCGAGCCCCTTCCTGCCCACCTTAGGAAAGAAGGCAGCATTGCCTATTGGACTCACACCTCCCCGTCCATCCCACATCCAGATCAGATTGCCCTCCTCCCCCAGAAGCAAGGGCTCCACCTGCGTTTCTAAAGCCACTGTGGCCTCTGTCCTCGAGGATGGCTGCCCAGGGACCCAATGTCTAAAGTCGCTCTCCTCTTCTGAGACTGGGATGGGCTAACCAAGCGGCCACTGGCTCACACTAAGCTAGAAGTTCTCATGTACTCCCCACTGGCTGTCCACCACCCAGGGCCTCCGACAGAACTGATTCCCAGCTGCTCTGCCACGGGTGCCAGAGTAGAGGTCCCCCATCCCTCCCGGTGCAGGGGGGCCTGGGAGCAGCTTTCTCCTCCAAATGTTTTCTGTTTGGGAATCCCATCATGGGTCTCCATATATAACCTGACTGGAAACGAGGGTTTCTGCCAGGAATAGGTACAAGCATACTCATAACCCAAACCTCAGCTGGTTGAGCTCTCACTCCACATAAGGTGCTTTTTATACAGTATCTTATTTCATCCTTACGACAGTCCTGGGTCGGGTGGACTGGGCATCAAGCTCTGATTCTTTCTCCTCTGGGCAGAGGAGGGTTCTCCCCACACCTCTCAGCTCAGGCCCCTCCCTTGGCCGCCGTTCCTCCGCACCCATTAACCAACTGCCAATGAACACATCAGCACCAGCACTCTGCCCAGCTACCAAGGAAAACATTGCTGTCCTTCTGCCGGTCCCATTCCCTGCACCGCTAGTAACTATAGGCCAGTTCCATGCTCTAGATCTTCAGTCACTGGGTCGGAGGCCCATTCCATTGACCATTTGTATAGCCTAGAGAGCACATGGCCCACCTCTGGACCAGGGCCTTTTCCAGTTTCCTGCTGAGCCTGCCCATCTCCTGAGGTTTTACCCAGAGCAGGGTCCTACCCCAAACAACCTCACCCACCCACAGGCAGTGGAGAGAGTGACCAAGGGCAGCCAGGCCACTCAAACCCAGCAAGTTTTACATCACACAGCAGTCCTGCAGACAAACCTTGGTGAGATCAAAAGTCAGACTGGAGCAAGGGATGTCTGGGTCTGGTCCTCCAAGGACTCATGAAGGGGTTTCCATGACATTTGTCCCTCAGCCCTGCTCCTCAGTCCCCTCCACCCCAAAGACAACTCCTATACTCTGACAGGGATGGATTCTAAGGCATGCTACATGGCTCTAGGACAGAGCTGACCTTCCCTCGTCCCACTCTGCTCATACCTCTACCAAGTTCCCCAACTCTCTGCTTCTTTACGCAGGACCGTTGCACCCCCACCAGATAATGACTTACCAGCCCAGGCCAGGCTGAAGAGTATGGCCACTATCAGGGGCACACAGGCCCTCATGGTGCCCAGTTGGAAGCCAAAAGGGGATGGGCTGTTGGACTTTCACTAGAGTCAAGGTGAATGTCACAGCTCTCAAATGAGCCTTATTGCCCAGGCTGATCCTTTTAAAGACATCAGAACTTGTGGATCTGGTACCTCCAGATCCTTCCAGGAAGAAAAAGGGGAGGGAAGGACCCTAGATGGATAAGAGGTGGAGAGGGGGTGGGGCCTGACAGCTGTTTGAAGCCAGAGGGAAGGTGACTAAGCAGGCAGGTAATTCCAGATGTTTAGAACAGGTAATACTAGCTGTGGCCAGAAAATGGGTCATGTAAGCAGACACAGCAAGATGGGCCTAGTTTGGGGGAAGGGAGGGTGCGGTTCTCCATCCCAAGTGGGAGACTGATGGCCTGGTCCGTGGCTGATACCCTCCAAACACCCACCTACTGGCAAGCCACTGTCCTGGCCTTCCAAGGAGCTACAGGCTGGCTTCATCTTTGAGTTCCTGATGCTAATATGAGAAACCTAGTGAGATGATTATTCCAAATTTGACCAGCAGTGAAGCTCAAGGAAGTGTTAGGGTCAGTCCAAGGAGAGATACAGGAGGTGTGGGTCAGAAATAAGGGCTGCTCTTATTAGCATCAAACCACACGTAGCCCAAGAACCCCAGAAATAATATGCAAATAGTCTCTAACTCTGACTGAGTCAGCACCTCAACTTCTCACAGTTCAGGTTCTCACAGGTTCCAGCTTTACGAGGTCAGCGGTGGGCAAGAGGTTCAGAGACAGACAGAGGACCCATCTTCCTCTCCTGGGGGCCCAGGAGCTCACTCCTTTCATCCCCTACTTACACTCTCTTCCCATGGGCCCTCCCCAGGGAGGTGAGGTTTCTCCAAGTCCTTCCTCCCCAAGTCCCAGGAGCAGCAATGTGGGACTGCCAAGTTCCCCCTCCTATTAAAGGCAAAATCTGTTCAGTAAATTGTTCTTTACAGTGTTGCATGGAGATGCTGCCCTCTTAATAAAAGAAAAGCCTCATGTAAGAAGGCAAAACTGATGAACCATCAGACTATTCTATAGTGACTTTTCTCCAGGGGTGAAGTAAGGGGACACGTCCTCCTCTGCCAGCATGCTGGAAATATGGGATGCTTCCTCCCTCTGACCTCAGTTTCCCCATCTCTGGAATGACAGGGTTGAACCTGATGAGCCCTGCCAAGGTCATTTCGGGGCTTCCCTCCCACACCCAGGGTGGGCCGCTGTGGTGGGGTGGGGAGAATCCTCCCCCCGCTCTCAGTGCGGAGATGAGACCCCACGTGGCGCTCAGGGGGGAACAGGACAGCCTGTGACAAGCTGCCTTGCAAGAGACTCACAGCAGAAGCACAGCTGACACATCAGCCTGGCCCTTTCATGGAGCAGGGAAGGTGGTTGAGGGAGTAGAAGCAGAAAGTCTGCCTGGACTGCTCCAGCGGTCAAGTCCAAGTCCAAGTAGAGAGCGGGCTGCGACCACGGCCAGCAGTTGTGCCAGGTGGCGTCACACACCTGGATTTCAGACTCTGGTTAGTTTAGGGAATAAAGGAGATGGTCACTGGCTGGGCCAGGAGAACAACCCCTCAGAATTTGGGGTGGACGGTGCCTTCCAAGGGCCTGGCTGGAGGCACCCCACAGAGACTGACGGTGTGGAGTCCGTCCGGCCCGGGCGGCCCTACCGTCCAGCTGAGCAGCCTGTCAGAAGGAACTTCCAGGCAGGAGCACCTCCTCCCTCCAACACGGGAATTTTAGGGCAGGAGCAAGGCTGGGAGCTTAGGGATGGTTGACACTGACCCCATAGAGCCAGAGGGCCCATCTGAGGACCCAGGTCTGAAACAAGAACCACAATGTCAGCTTTAAGGACAACGGCCAACACTGACTGAGCACGTGCCGGGGACTCCCATGCCAGAACCTCCTATGCACTCCATCCTTCCCTCTTCTACAACCCTTCAGAGTATTATTGTTATCCTCATTCATGGGGGAGGAAACTGAGGCACAGAAAGGTTGGCAGGTATCCCCAGGAGCACATCGGTAAGTTATGCAGCAGGACTTCCAACCAGACGCCGTCCTAATGGGCACTGATGCCACATTGTCTCGCAGAATACATCAACACCACTTAACCACGTCTGGGTTACAAAGCACAGTGGTCTGCACTCAGATTACGTGGAATGAAAGGGACCTCAGCAGCCATGTGGCTCCACTCCTCCTATGAAGTTGCAAGCCTGGCACAATCCTAAGGGGCTGTCCTGCCTCCACTCAGATGCCTCTGTGCCTCTCGGGCAACCCCGGGACTGTATAAGCCAATGCATGCTGACGTGGAGGAAAGTAGATAGGACAGTTGGGAAAAATCCAGCAAGCCAGTGTATGAACACACCTCTGTACACTCCTGCAAAGATGCCTCATAGATAAATTCGATTTATCTATGCGGATGTAGAGATGCGCATATCAGATTACATATGTGTATATAGAGATAAATGCAGGAAAGGGTGTTCCAGGCGGCTGGCTGGCCTGGCTGGCTTTCCAAGTTCTCCCCCAGTTAGGTTCTCACATGGGCTTTCCACCCTCCATTAAAAGCTCTTCCCAGGGGGCCAGCCAGCAAGGTGGGAGTCATAGGAGGTGGGGTCCTGGAGACTCGGGCCTGGAGGGTATGGTGACAGGTGAACGGTGGATGGTATTCCCATGGCGAGAGCACGCAGAGAGATGCCTTATCAGGAAGTGAGGCCAGGTGCGGAGGGTGAAGGCACGTGGGCAAGGATCCAGGAGGCAGGCAGGTCAGGCGGTCAGCAGTGTAGGGAATGGGAATTCCATGAGCAAATATTTGCTGAGCACTCACTAGGGTGCCCGTGCTGTGCTGTTCCCGGACCGGCAGGATTCAGGCCAGGCTGGAAAACGGGCTCTTAGAACCTATTGGTTTCCCGTGGGACAGAGCACAGAGAAGCCTCAGCATTAGATGGCTGTTGGAACTAGATCCCACACATCTCTGGGCTACCGGGGTGGTGAGGGGTCATCAGGACCCAGAGGCTATGGCCCAGGGGACATACCCCAAGGTCAGCCTTGTCCTCCGTGAAACCAAGGCTCAGTCACTTCAGCACAAGACCAGAAGTGGATGGGTTCTGCAGCTAGCCCAGCTCAGGAGAGGCCTAGAGACCCCTCCGAAGCAGACCCCTGGCCCCTGAAGATGCTAGACCTCCAGGCTCCATCCCACTGTGGCCCGGGAAGTGCCCCAGGATAGAGACCTGGACAGTCACCCACATCTGGTCACTTGTGACCCAGCTCAGTCTGAAGTCGCCTCTCGCTGAACATGTTCTAGAATAGCTTCACGCGGGGTTTGCTTTCACACTGGCTTGTAGGTTGTGTCCCACCGTTGGGTTTCCAGGACTTTCTTTTTAAGTTTGTGGCAGCCCTGATACTCAGTGTCACACTCACCGCCCCCCCCCAAGTCCCGTGGATGCATGAGTCAGACAGACGTGTGCCACTGAGGGCACTCACCAGAGTCCCGGGCTGTGCTTCTGGTTCTGCTGGCCAAACCACAGGGAAGTCCTCTGCCTGCATTGCCTTCCCCTGGGCTGTCCCCCTCCTACTCTCCTCCAGGCCCAGGGCAAACCCACCCTCCCTCGAAGCCGGACTTCTGCCCTCCAACCAGAGGAATCGCTCCTGCCTGTGGACTCAGTTCTTGATATTTGTCCTGGGCGCCATTGAGATATCCCAGCCCCTCCGGTGGTGTGGCCAGCATGGCACTGGTTAACCCCCGCACTGCCATTTAACTTTTTATCCATACAGGCTGCTTCTTCACCTCTGCTTCCTGGGTCCCCTCTACTTTCTTGTATTTTCATTGAAGGTTGTTAAATAACCACCAACACGGACAAGGGGCCAAGAATGAATGAAGGAGCAAACTGAGCCTTTCAGCCCCACTTGTTACAAAGTCTTGACGGAAGATGGTGAGCCAGAGAGAGCAGACGGGGCCTTCTTTGAGATCTGGAAGCTTCCGCGGGGGCCTTATGGGCAGTGGGTGGAAATGGGGTCTAGGGACTCATTGTGTAATGTTTTCATAGCCAACACACCATTTGTGGCAATATTGCAGGTTTGCTTGGAACTCATAGAAATCTAATGCCCTTCCCCCCAAGCCACCCCTTGGCATCACCATGGCTAGGGGCAGCCAACACAGGGATCAGACAGGACCTAGGACTCCAGCAGCTTCTGAATCCACAATGTAACAGATAACTCAACCTTATCCCACTTTTTAGGATCCCAAAGTAACCACCTGCCTACACTTTTCCCCCCTTTGGCTGCTGTACTAATGTTTGTTTTACACTACCCAATGGTGTTTATAAAATAAAGTTTCTGTCTCGCGTCCTCAAACCCCAATAGTTTTGGGGGAGGCTCTGGAGGCACAGCTGGGAACAAAGAGCAGCAGATGAGACAGGCAGACCAAGATAAGGAGGTTCAGAGAGACAGCGAGGGAGTGAGCAAGGGCAAGGTCAGGAGGGAGGGCCGGGAACCGCCGAGCAGGAGCCGGGCACTGGCACCAGGCACCCCACCAGCCTCTTGCCCCAGGTGTGTCGGCACAGCTGTGGCTGCTCTGGCCTCCCAAAGACAACAGTGGAACTGGCAGGAGCGGTTCCTACCCAGTGTGTGAAGATCTACCATCTTTCAAAACTGTCGTAATTAGTGTCTAAGGTAGTTGGCTTATGGCCAATTTCCCTCTTTCTCAGTCTTTATTCATTCGCCTGACTTTGCTAAGCAGAATGGATGTGAGGACAAGAAATTCAGCCTCCAAAGGGGGAGGGAGACAATGGACAAAGCATAGGGAGAGCTGGGATTGGGGGAGCAGAACCCAATGCTGAGACTACTGAGTTTGAATCCCAATTCTACCACTCACCAGCTATACAACCCCGGGCAGGTTTTCTGATCTCTCTGGGCCTTGGTTTCCCCCATCACTGTAAAATAGAGCAAGTAAGAGTACCTGACAAGGCTCTTGTGAAAATTGAATGAGGTAATACTTGTGAAGCTCTTAGAACAGTTCCCGGCACATAACAAGAACAGAATACTGTGTGTTTAAAAAAAAAAAACAAAACAAAACAGGGCCAGCCAAGACAATCTTGAGAAAGAAGATCAAAGCTGGAGGTACCACACTCCC